CCCTGGAGGTAAACACTGTTGAGAAGCCTAATGCCTATGGCTCCAGGCCCGCTCCAAAGCTGGGCTGTCTGCTGCCCGGACTTCATCTGCCAGCGACCCCTTCCCCGGGGCCCCTCGAAGGTCACTTCTCTCCCTGTTGTCTTGGCCACACCTGGGGCCAGAAAACGGCCCTCTTGGTTGGCCTTCCTGGTTGGTTTTTTGTTTTGTTTTGTTTTGCTTGTAAGCATTTTCACTGTTTTCAGGGAATAGCGGTTCAGCTTAAAAAAGAAAAAAAAAGAAGGCAAAGTAATTAGGCAGGCGGGAGAAAAGGCCTAACCCCACGTCCTAGAAGGAAATGGACACAGGTACAGTCCCATGATCATGATTACCTTTATGGACCTGCTGGCCACAAACGGATGTTTCTGAGCTGGGTCCCAGGGTGTGACAACACAGCCTGCTGGGGACAAAAACCCCACTGTAGGCTGTTTGTGCAAAGCTAGCTGTTTCCAGCTAGAAGAGCATCATATGGTAAAGCGCAGACACCAAGAACTTGCACTGGTGTAGCTTTGCCAGTTTCTACCCGCTGATCTGTTTGGCTCCCTCCCACACCAATTCCAGCCTCCCTCTCTAGGTGCTGGGGTACCTATAGGGCTAAGCAGGTGCTCTCGCTCTGCACCCATGCACCCAGGGACAGCTAGAACAATGACATGCTTTCCGCACTACCTGATGAAGAAACAGCAAAGTAGTTGGGGGGGGAGGGGCAACCAGAATCCTATGGGATGTCCTTAGGCTTATTTTAGGTTTTCGGTCTTGACTGGAGGATGGGAGGCTGCGTAATCCTTCTCTTCAGTGCTCAGACCCTCTGGAGGTCCTAATTGGCCCTTGCGGCCACCACAGAAACCACAAAAAGATCTAGATGCTGAGAAGGGGGAAAAGTACTTTGGAACATGAACATTTCCTTACTCTGCAAGCTGTCTGCGGCCGTCTGGGATGCAAACTGTTTTCTATGGCTACTTATTTTTTTTCATCTTTCTTCTCAACTAGACAGGCCTAGAAGATGTAGGGTCTCCATCGCCCATATGCCTCAAGCTGCACTTTCAAAGGAGACCTGACAGATCCTTCATTAAATACTAGAGAGGCGAAATTTGGCTACGGAGGGCGGGAGGGTGGAGGCCAGGCCCAGGACAGGTAGAGGCCTGCTAGAGAGGGGGCAGGAGGAGACAGAAGGCACACAGGCTTGGGAGGACCAAGAAGGAGGGCTCAGCAAAGTACTGCTTTCCAACACCAGGGAGAACCCGCCTATAGTACACTTTAGATGATCCCAGACTCCGGGCCCTGCTGCTGTCCTGCTTAAACCTGAAATACTGGCTCTTCAGTGCCTTTCACTAAAGGCTGAATTCCTCAGTGCCCAGCACAGAGCAGGTCCTCACTGACACCGGCATGAGGAAGCAGGCTGATGAGCTGAGTTGGGGGTCTCCCGGCCTCTTCTCCATCCTCCTCCCTTCCTATCACTGCTGTTCAGGGAAGGACTTTAAAGACTTTTTTGTTCATACGCCTCTCCCGTCGTGATCACTCTTGGGAGGGTCAAAGACAAAATGATCTGGAGATGCCACAGAAGGGAAATATTTGGGGCCACTTTTTGTCTCAGCAGGGGGCTTCAAGCCAACGCATCCTCCTGAGATAAGAACCCGACGAGAGCCCTAACCTCTGTGGGTGACAGAGATGACCGCGTCTCAGACAATACCAGCTGCCCCAATCCTTAGGTATTTCCAAGATACCCTGACAGCTAGAGCTCTCTCTGGCTCTGTCTCTGCAGGCTGGTGGTTCTTAAAGTGGCCCCTGGACCAGGGGCACTGGCATCACCCAGCCGCTTGCCAGAAATGCAAGTTCTCGGGCCTCAGGAATCTGGGTTTTAGCAAGCCTGCCAGGTGATTCTGAGGTGTCCTCCAATTTGAGAACCACTGCTTTAGAATCGGGGGAGACGATGCCCTAGTGTTTAAAGCACGAACTCCCAGGGAAGATGGAACGCACAGGTTCATTAGGACATCCGTGTGTCCTTCTCGGCAGAACTGACCCGGGAACTTTCCGCAAGGATGGAAGCGCCCACCCTCTGTGCCAATCAGTGCGGCAGCTTCTGGCCATGTGTGGCCGTGAGCAGCTAAAAGACAGCTCCTGGACTGAAGAAGTCGGTGGTTAAGTTTATTGAGTTTACACTGAAATTTAAATAGCCACATGTGGCGAGGGGGTGTCCTAATGGATGGTACAGTTCTAGAAAGTGACCAAACATATGTATATATAATCTTATTCAACCCAGTGTCTAAAATCCCAGTGATATCAATGTTGAAACTACACTCCCTCAGATTCCACCTTATTCCTCCGGATCACTTCCTCCTTCATAGGCCCTGGCACATAGCTGAGCTCCGAAAATATTTGGCAACTGACCTGGGATTAACCTAGTTCTGTCAGCTGTAAAATGGAAGGTATTTATTCAATGGCTGATTGATTGATTCATTCATTCAACTTTAATCAAAGATTTGCTGCTTATCTCAAGTTTGCTCTAGCAAATTAATGTTTTGAACTTTTTTTTTTTTTTTGAAGCAGTTTAAAGCATCATGTAAAGTAACACTCTGTAAATCTGACAAGACTTCAGGTGTAGGACTGGACCCGGGCGTGAGTTAGAATTCGGGAGGGTGGGGGGCAGTAAACCAAGCTGTACTTGGGTGCCCTGCCATGAGCCTCTAGGATTTGAAGAAAAAGGATGTAATCCAGGTCAACCGCCAGAGGAACTTCTCTCTGTGGTAACACCGATCTGTTTCAGACGGCTCTGCCTGATGTCAGGGTGAGTTCAGGTAGGTGACGGGGGTCTCATTTTTCAAGATAAACATGCACTTTTACCCTGCAACCTAACTCTGGCCCTTAGCTGTCCCTCATTAAGGAATTTGTATACAGACGACTGCATTTGGAGTACAGAAAGATCATACCCCCAATTTAAGAAAGAATTTTATTTTAAATATGACTGTTAGCAGTTTAGCCAAATCCGCACTGTCCCGGAACACTAAGGACACCTGCCTGAATGTGCACTCCTAAGCAGGAAGACGTCTGCAAAGTCCTTTCTTTCTCTGGCCTCTGGGGATGCAGCTCTAGCCAACACGGGCTGAGGCTCAAAATCCTGCTCGAGGGACTGGCCTGGGAAGACAACAAAGGCTTCCAACCCTCAGCAAGAATCTAGGTGACCGACGGAGGTGACCAAGTTCTGTGTGGCCCTGGAACGGACTGCTGCCACCAATCTCCAGTGACACTGGTACACAGGGCTGTCATACTTGGCCCCAGCCGTGAATCTGTCTGGGGGTTCTCAGAGAGAGAAGGTCGTTTTGGGGGCCTAGTTCCTTTAGGCTGGGTTTGAGGAGCCTGGGTAAGGTTCCGGCAGTCCTGGCAAGGTGTGGGGCTGTGTCTGTCAGATAGGCAGGTGACTTGGGTGACTTGGGGCACCACATCGCTGCAAATGGGGGTCACTTTCAGGGGCTCCACCTCGGATGTCTGGGCAATCACTAGAGAGTTCTGGAGAGGTACAGACTGGGGCTCCAGGCAGAACTAGGAGGAGGAATCCAGCCAGAAATTTGGCAGTAGGCAGGCGTGCTCTTGAACTATAAATTGCAAACGAGGGGGAAACTCGGACACCATCTAGTCTAGGGATATCAAACCCATGCTTCCCACGTTTTCCACCCTCGCCCAAGACAGCCATCACTAAGGACCAGCAGTCTTTCCCACCAAGCCTCCTAACAGTTACAAACTGCTCAGAGTTTGCAAATCAATAAAATCTCATGACCTTTTTCAATCTGTATGAATCATCTACTGTACAAACGAAGAATACTTAATAATTACTCACTTAATACTCATGGCAACTCCATGAGAAGGGACCACGTGGGAGAGGAGGAGACAGTAGCATAAAGAAGTCTAGAACGTTCCAAAGTGTGCATGGCTAATGAAAAGTGGAGCTGGGCTCCAAAACCGGGCACCCCTGCTCCAGAGATCACTGGCTCCCACATGGACGAGATTCTGGCTTGGGGTTTTATCATGGAGTGAACGAGCATGTCGGTTCTAGAATATTTTATTTGTAGATTCGTGAAACCCCAACATTTACACGATATTAAAACCGTTCTAAGAGACGATCATGCTAAAGGTGTAATCGCCTTTGTAAGCTTGCCAAGTCAGAGTGTAAGGGCTTTTATGAAAAGCTTCAGAAATGTGGCTCACGGGGCAACGGTTTATGGTCAACTGCCTTTTGATCTCTCATGTGAAAAATATGTACTTACATATATTGCAGGAAACCTCACCACTTCCTTCCTAAGTGTTGGTCAAAAACACTAATTACCTGGCTAATTAGACTGTGAGGCTTCCCTTACACATGGTAAAAATGAGCTATTCACCCCACAAATTTCATGGTGACATGCCACCAAAAAGTAGATGTGTTTCAATGGTTTTACTGTAGACCCCATGAACAATTTAAGCAAATCATATAAAAATAAATTTAGAAACTAATGAAAATAGGGCTGCTCCTTCGTCAGGGGGTGGGAGGGAATAACCTGGCTGTGTGGGAGTGGAGAGAGGAGGCAGGGGGTTGCCGGGGAGGGAGCATCTGTTTGGAGAGCAAAGCTGGAGGCCCGGTCCCCGGCCCGGTCCCCATGAGGTGGGACACCCCAAAGGACTCATCAGCCCCAAGTGGATCCGTGACTTTTAGGGACGTACTTTTCATTCCACCTGTGCAGTCACTGCTTCTCCCTCAGTCTCCCCCATAGACGTTCCCCGCCCCGGAAAGCACAGGCTGGCCTGGAAGCCAGACGAGGCCTCCCTTCCACTCTGCATCCCCAGTATTTCAGACTGCCGCATCCGCCCGCTTGCCCAGAGAACGGGGACTGACCGCGATGGACCAGTACAGACTCGGGTTCAGGGTCGGCGTGGCCTCCGCACCCCAGCGGGGGGCCTGCGGGCAGAAGGGTACCCATCAGACGCGAGACACTCACCTGCGTCCAGGCCGCCGGTAGCCGCGGTCCAGCCCATGACGGGGGGGCACGGCCCCGACCACGGCGCCCACCCACGTGTTGGCGATGCTGATCCTCTTCAGCGGGGTGTAGCAGCAAGTGTACAGGAAAATGTTGAAGGCCCCCAGGGCTCCCGTGAGGGGGTTCACCCCCCAGGTCAGGAGGGCAATCCCTGGGACGGCACAGCAAGTGGCGAAGGTCACAGCGACCAGCGGGCTGAAAAAGAGCAGCGGACACAGACCCATCACTGTCCAGCCCGGCTAAGCACGCGGTGCACGCGCGCGGCCGGAGCTGTGGGAGCGGCCCATGCACCTGTCCCGGGGCGGACCCGGATGTGAGCGGGCTGCCTTCCTCCCGGGAATGCGGCACCGGCTCTGCCACACCTAAAATCAGGAGGGTTCTGGCCGCTCCTCTGACACCTGCCAGCTGGGAAGGAAGTTAAAGACTGGAGGTCGGAGGGCCCGGGGTTCGCACGCGGGCTGAGCCCCTTCCTGGCTGTGGGATGCCAAGCGGCACCTGCTCATCTGTGCGGCAGACACGGTGGACTGCTCCTCCCCGCAGACCAGGGCTTGCTTGGCACAGGGTTCTGTTTTTGTTTTTAAGGTTTTATTTATTTATTTGAGAGAGAGAGTGAGCAAGAGAGAGCACAAGCCAGGGGAGGGGCAAAGGGAGAGGGAGAAGGAGGCTTCTGCTGATCAGGGAGCCCCACGTGGGACTCGATCCCAGGGCCCTGGGATCAGATGCTTAACCGACTGAGCCACCCGGGTCCTACACAGGGTTCCCGTTTTACAGTTAGTGCGGGGGAGGTGGCAGCTACAGATAAACTACCCGCATCACAATACTGTAACATTTGGCAGAAACGAGTGTCTTGGGACGCCTGGGTGGCTCAGTTGGTTAAGCAGCTGCCTTCGGCTCAGGTCATGATCCCAGCGTCTTGGGATCGAGTCCCGCATCGGGCTCCTTGCTCATCGGGGAGCCTGCTTCTCCCTCTGCCTCTGCCTGCCATTCTGTCTGCGTGTGCTTGCTCTCTCTCCCTCTCTCTCTCTCTGACAAATAAAAAAAAAAAATCTTTAAAAAAAAAAAAAAAAAAAAAAAGAAACGAGTGTCTTAATTCTGGAAGCCCTTCTGCCCCCGTGTATTTATACTTTATTTAAAAACATGGGGCGCCTGGGTGGCTCAGTGGGTTAAAGCCTCTGCCTTCGGCTCAGGTCATGATCAGGGTCCTGGGATCGAGCCCCGCATCAGGCTCTCTGCTCAGCAGGGAGTCTACTTCCCTTCCTCTCTCTGCCTGCCTCTCTGCCTGCTTGTGATCTCATGCTCTCTCTCTGTCAAATAAATAAATAAAATCTTAAAAAAAAGGCACCCAATTAGCGGTAATGGATAACGACCGCGTGTCTGGGTATATCTATCTGTAATGAATGACAGGCTGAGCATGGGACCAGTGCGATGCCAACAGTGAAACACCAGGGGGCCACTCCCCAGTGACAGGGCACTCCCAGCTGAGTTTCCTTCTGTGCCACAGCTGGTTTCAGACACGGGATTTTACGGGGAGTCCTACGAGGTCATGCATGCAGTGAAAACGGTCAAACACAACTCTCCACTGGCAGTGAATCTAAGACCGATTCCCATCAGAGCCCACTTCTTCTTTTATTTTTTGAGATTTTATTTATTTATTTGACAAATAGATAGAACCAGAGAGTACAGGCAGGGGGAGTGGCAGAAGGAGAGGGAGAAGCAGACTCCCCGCAGAGCAACGAGTCCCTTGCAGGACTTGATTCCAGGACCACGACCTGAGCCAAAGGCAGTTGCTCAACAGACTGAGCCACCCAGGCGCCCCCCAGAGCTCACTTTTTAAGGTGGACTTTGTGTGGCATCTTGTGAAAAACTTTTTGAGAGTGTAGATTAATTGGATCTATACGTTCCTGGTTATATGCACGTTTGTTTCTTCTTTTTTAAAGTAGGTTCTACGACCAATGCTGTCAAACCAGACGAGGGACTCCATCTCACAACCCTGAGATCTTGATCTGAGCTGAGATTAAGACTCAAGACACTTAACCAACTGAGCCACCCAGGCACCCTTATTTATTCTTTCTTAAGAAACCTGAGGAGGTCCCTCAAGCCTACCTTCTCCTTTTGGAGGCCATAATTCTGCCTCCCAAGCAACTGCATGGGGCTCAGTGATTCCACTCGATCAGATCAGATCCTGTGGCCACAACCCCTAAAGATGGAACCCTGCAGAGGGGGAGTTTTGTTTTTTAAAGATTTTATTTATTTATTTATTTGACAGAGATAGAGCACAAGTAGGGGAAGCGGCTGGCAGAGGGAGAGGGAGAAGCAGACTCCCCACTGAGCAGGGAGCCAGATGTGGGGGCTTGATCCCAGGACCCTGAATTCCCAGGACCCTGAATTCAGGACTGGAGTGGAAGGCAGACACAACCCCTTAATGGACTGAGCCACCCAGGCACCCTGAAAGGGGGAGTTTTGATGCAGGAGGGGAACATAAACTGATACATTGTTGCAAAGGTGCTTGTTCACGCATGCTCCATAGAGATGGGGAATTTCCACCCTGCTTCTGGCTACCTCCTTGGGATCACGGGGTACCTCCTTTGAAGGGCAGTCACTCGGCCCCCTAGAACTTTCATCCTGCCTTGCATTTCCTGACAACTCCCACCAGTGCCTGTGCTCCTGCCAGAGAAAGCCCATGACCATACTAACTGGCCCCATTCTCCAGATGAAAAATCACAAGATGGCTCTGTGCTGTTAAGTCTCACCTATGCCCAGAAAAAAATGGCCAAAAAGCAGTGAAAATGTTACAACTGTTGTCCTTCTTGCAATAAGGTCGTTTATAGCTTATAAGAACAGAGGGGGGTTTTTTGTTTTTTTAATTTTTTTTGTTTTTTCCTATGGGACTGTAAAAGCGGAGTTTTATTTTGGGTGGCAGAAAAATGTAGCTCATAAACATTTTTATTTTTCCTGAATTGGACCTTGTGTTTTTTTAAAAAAAAGAAGGTTGTTCGCTCCTTCTCCTGGGTCTGTGGAAGCCAGTTGGATTCAAAGGTATTAGTGTTATGAAAAGCCCTTTTAGAAAAGCACACATGAATTTAATTTATTGAGATAGGCAATTTCACATGGAAGTTTAGTTTCTGACCCTTGTGGGCATCCTAGAAAATCATGAGGCTTAATTTTGGTGTTTCAGTCTGTGTGCTCAGGGGCACGGATGGAAATTGTGATGGAGAGTGTGATGGAGAGTGACAAGCGACATAAGCGAAAAGGAGGCTCTTCGCTGCGACCATCCCCAGTACCTGGAGGCTCAAGAGACACATTTTTCCTCCCGGTACAAGGAGGCCTGAATCAGTGAACTTCCCAGTTTTCTCTCATTATGGGCAAAGGTGCTCCAACTACAAACTTTGTGAAGTTTATTTTCCTGGGATGCTTTTGTTTTCCTCAAACCTCTACTATAGAAGTAATACCTGTTCTTTCCAGAAAATTTGGAAATTTTAAATTACTCAGTGAAACACACTGATTTCTATCTTCTTTGTCTTTTTTTCAATGATATCTCTACTTTAAAAATAACAGGACATACTGAACTGTCATTTGGTTCCTTACTTTATTTCAATATATCTTAATAATTTCCCTGTGCGACTCAGAATTCTTTTGTACCATTAATAGCTAATAGTGGCCTAAGTGGTATATCTTTGGGATATACCACGATTAGTTCAATCAACATACCCCTTCTGGACACATCATATTTTCCCCTTTTTGAAATGAGCAAAAGGGGTGCCTGGGTGGTTCAGTTGGTTAAGCGACTGCCTTCAGCTCAGGTCATGATCCTGGAGTCCTAGGGTAGGGTCCCACATCCGGCTCCCTGCTCGGCAGGGAGTCTGCTTTTCCCACTGACCTCTCTCCTTCCTCTTATGCTCTCTCAAAAAAATAAATAAAATCTTAAAAAAAAAAGAAAAGAAATGAGAAATAACATGGGAATAAGTATCTTAGAGATAGCTATTGTTCACAGTTCTGATTAGGATAAATTCCCAGAATAAATTCCCAGACATGAGATAGCTATCTAAGCCAGATGACAGGCACATTTTTAGGGACTGGACTGGTATCGCCAGTCTATACTATACACCCCGGAGGGTTTGGACTAGCTCACCCTCCCACCAGCAGTTCATGAGAAAGCCTATTTCTAGAAACCGTATCAACACTGGGTATGGTGTTAAAAACATAACAAAGTAAAACATTTTTTTTTTTTTTAGATTTTATTTATTTATTTGACAGAGATCACAAGTAGGCAGAGAGGCAGGCAGAGGGAGAGAGGGAGGGAAGCAGGCTCCCCGCTGAGCAGGGAGCCCGATGTGGGGCTCGATCCCAGGACCCTGGGATCATGACCTGAGCCGAAGGCAGAGGCTTTAACCCACTGAGCCACCCAGGCGCCCCCTCAAAGGAAAACATGTTTATTCGGACAGGATTATTCCCATTTCGCAGATGAGAAACTGAGACTCAGATCACCTTTAGACAGTGAGAGGGATGGGGTGCTGAACCCAGTGTACAGTTGTAGTTCCAATCCGTGGGCACCTGGGTGGCTCAGTGGGTCAAGCGTCTGACTCTTGATTTTGGCCCAGGTCATGGTTTCAGGGTTGTGAGATCAAGCCCCGAGTTGGGCTCCATGCTGGGTGTGGACCTGCTTGAGATTCTCTCTCCCTCTGCCCCTCCTCCCACCACCCGTGCACACACTCTCTCTAAAAACAAATAAAAATAAAAGAAGAGAAAATGCAGGTGTAACTTTTGACTCCCCCCAAACTTAACTACTGATAGTAAGAACTGCGAGAGACTCCTTTGTATTATGATACACAATTTGCTGGAGACGTGAACTCCTCGTTCAGAGATGATCAGCACCACACGGGGCATTTTAAGCAGATGGTCGTGACATGTGAGCTCACTACAAGGGCAACAGGAGGCGGTTACGAAATTATGATGTTAATTTTACGCGGTTATGATTCGATTCTGCATCTTTTACGTTTGTTTACCTTTCTCTCCACTCAAACAGCACCATGCACACTCTGCAAACATTTCTGTGTGTAAGTTTTGATACACTTTAACTTTGTATAATAGATGTGTGTATATTTATGATAGCATTTGACAAAGTAGACTAGTGTCTACATATATGTCCACATTCATGACATACCGTTTAAACTTTTTTGAAATTTCTGTGCTATGCA